CCTGACTTCTACGGGCTGGATTAGTTTTGCCTGCTTGTTTTTGAACCTTGTGTTACGTGCACAATGAGATGGTACCATATATACTTTTTAGGGTCTGGCTTCTTTGGCTCGATGTTACGCTTCTAAGATACGTCCGTGCTGCCTTGGGCGCAACAGTTCATTGTTGCTGACGTCACAACGTTCCACTGCATGCGTATACAATTCCTTTATCCCGTGTACTGTTGATGGGTGTTTGGGATTGTTTCCAGCTTACGGCCGTTATGAGTAACGACCATTTTGGAAAATGTCTTTTAGTGCACACAAATTATCTTAGAATTTTCGTATCTTTTTCAAGTTTGTAAGATTTTTAGCATTGTCCCCTTTTCAGCCCTGTTGAGAGTAATTTATGCTAATAGGACAGAACACTTGTGGTGTATTTGATAAGTGTTTACTATCTAGAATGTTTAAGGAACTCTAACAAGTAAAAGACAAACAACCCAATCTAAAAATGACCAGAAGACTTGAATAGACATTTCCTCAAAGAAGACATAGAAAAAGCCAACAAGCTCCTGAAAAGCTGCTCATCATTAGTCAGTGTAGAAATGCAAATCAAAGTCACAGTGAGATAACACTTCACATCAGCTAGGATGGCCATTATAAGTAAAACAGAGCAAAGACAAGAAAATAACAAGTGTAGGTTGGGATATGGAGAAACTGGAACTCCTGTACCTTGCTAGGAGAAAGGTAAGATGGTGCAGCCACCGTGAGGACTTTCCTGGCAGAACAGCAGATAAGAACCCACCTGCCAGGACGGGGACATGGGCTCAGTCCTTGGTTGGGAAGATCCCACACGCAGAGGCGCTGTTAAGCCCAGGCACCACAACTGCTGAGACAATGCGCCCTGGAGCCTGCACTCCACCGCGAGAGACGCCACCTCAATGAGAAGCCCAGGCACCGATACGGAGAAAAGCCCCGCTCGCTGCAACTAGAGGAAACCTGCATGCAGCCACAGAAGCCCAGCGCAGCCACGAAGGAACGCACCACATTTAAAAGTGTAGACAGGGCATCGGCGTGGGATCTACAATTCCGCTCTTAGGTGTGTACTCAGAAGAATGGAAGTCACGTGTTCGTCCATGAATGTTCATAGCAACAGTGTTCACAACAGAGAAAAACAAAGCAAGTGTCTGCCAACGTGTGAATAGATAAACCAAGCGTGGTAGAGCCACACAGCGGGACATTATTCGGTCATAAAGAGTTTGGTTGCACAAATCTGTGAATGTACTAAAGCCATGTGTGTTGCTTCAGTCGTGTCTGACTCTCTGTGACCCCACAGACTGTTGCCCACCAGGCTCCTCTGTCCATGGGATTCTCCAGGCAAGAGCACTAGAGTGGGTTGCTGTGCCCTCCTCCAGGGGATCTTCCTGACCCAGGGGTGGAGCCCAGGTTTCTCATGTCTCCTGCTTTGGCAGGTGGGTTCATTACCACCAGCATCACCTACCATGGAAGTATACAAAAACTTATGCTCAGGACCAAAACCGAAGCTCTGAGTGATTCACTAACGGTCTAAGCGATCGATCTGTAGCTTATTTTGTACTGTCTCTGGGAGGATGTGAATAAAACGTGATGTCTAAGAAGGATGTGTTTTTCCGGGCCTTGCTGGTGGTCCAGGGGTTAAGGCTTGGTTGGGGGACTAAGATCCCATATACCTCATGGCCAAAAAAACCAGAGCATAATACAGAAGCAATATTGTAATAAATTCAATACAGACTTCCATAAAAGAAGGGTGTTTTAAGAGACAGTAGAGCCTGAAATTAAAATACTGGAGTTCCAGGGAATTCCCTGGTTATTCAGTGGTTAGGGCTCGGGGCTTTCACTGCCAAGGGCCCAGGTTCAATCCCTGGTCAGGGAACTAAGATCATGCAAGCCGCAAGGTACAGCCAAATGCAATAAATACATAAAATACTGAGGCTCTGGGTCAGTTTCACACACTAAATCATGAGTCTGAAGTGAGGTGTGGGTCTCCTGGAATAGCATCTGGCAGCTCCTAAGGGAGGCTTATTAGCTTTGCTTCAATCCATTATAATCTGCTTTCAAACCTGTTTGACTTCAGTTAGGAAAGTCCTGCAGCTAACAAGCCCAGTAGTGAGATATTTACAAACCCTAATATAGCATTTACACTACTGTTAAGATATGTTGCTAATGTTGAGACTGGCTCAGGGCAACACCGCGTCATAGGGATCCTGACAGATTTAATACGTATAAGGTTTTCCTCGTCTCACCCTCAGAGGTTCCTTCTGCCTTTTAAAGGAAATATCCCTTCCAAGGCATTCTTTCACACTCGCCCCTTCCTTTCATTCCAAAGCTTCTTCTATTAACGCGGCTTCTGCTCCACCAGCTCAAGATCATTCCAGTGTATCTGACGAGAGCTCAGGCTTTTAGATACGCAATGTTGGAATGCCATCTGGCCCACCATTCGATGTGTCCAGGCAGACACACTGCAGATTATCTCCAGGAAGGAAGAAAAATAGAAGACCGTCTCAGAACTATTTATACAACTCTACTGCAGGCTCTGGCCTGGAAAATAAGAAACTAGGACTTTAAGGGTTTTGATTGCATTTCCTCTTTCCTGTATTTCATGAAGTTTAAATTATAACCGTCTGTTTCAGAAGAAATAAAAATCCTGAATTCCATCTTCTTCCATATTAACAGAATACCAACCCCTTGGGGAATCTTTTATTAGTGGAGGTTTTCAGTAATGACTCTCCTAAAATCACACTGTAAAATAAGCACTAAGCTACATCTCATTACCTATCTACCTCATTTGCCTCACGAATGTAGCAATGAAAGGGGCTTCTGTCTCTGAAATGCATCTCCTAATGAGGATGTTTGCCTGGGTACCAACAGTGACATTGTTTTCTGCTTGTTTAATGATGGTGTGGAGGAGAAGGAGGATGGTGATGATAGTAAAAGCTTTCTTTCCTCCAGCTCTTATTAAAGATCATGTCATTACCCACTATTTTGGGCTTATTCTTTTGCTCATCTTTACTTCTCAAAATATCCCCAAATCATTCCTGGTGGCTTCAAAGGCATTTTACATTTGGCGATTAATTTGATCTAATTTTAATTTCATTCTTATAGCCTATAGGACATCATGGATATGGAAAACACCACTCTGAAATTCACCAGCTGCAATGATTCTATCATGTCCATTCATCATCTCTCCTCTCTCCGTTTGGTAGGTTAATCCTCCGTGCGTTTCCAGTAAAGTGAAGTGAAGTGAAAGTTGCTCAGTCGTGTCCAACTCTTTGCGACCCTATGGACTATACAGTCCATGGAATTCTCCAGGCCAGAATACTGGAGTGGGTAGCCTATCCCTTCTCCAGCAGATCTTCCTGACCCAGGAATTGAACCGGTGTCTCTGGCATTGCAGGCAAATTCTTTACCAAATGAGCTATCAGGAAAGCCCATAAGCTAGAGGAAAAGCATGGCATTGTAGCGACATAAAAACACTTTTCTGTGGTGCAGAAAGTCATTGGGTTTCTTTTAGTTAAAATGCTAGACTCCAGTTTTCTCTCTCAGTAGGCTTTCTGCATTCTTCTCCCAGAAATACTTTCTGTTCTTCTTCCCATTAATAAACCTTGATGGAGCACCACTGTTTGCTAAGCTCCGTGCTGGGTTCTGGAGACACCGAGATAAGCAGAACCTGGTTTTTATCCCCAAGTAACCGAAATCGAACACAGAACAAGCCATGTAAATAAATAGCTACAACACAGAGAAACAAGGGCCTCATGAGACAAGAGTGGTATACTGTGGAGGAGAAATGATGCGTAAGCGATGAAATCTTATTCTGTTCTTTGACCACCCTACGGGTTTCTAGTGTTTGATGATGAACTCATTTTTATTTTACTACTTCGTATACCTTTAGAATCTCTGTGTTTTCAACGTTTACGCTTTTCACCTTTTATTACAACAGTCTACCTTTTGTGGGTCTCACAGATGAATATAACCTTTTATTGCCTCCATTGGATTTTTATTTGGGATCCAGGTATCAGGTGAAGAGAGAGATTTGGGAGGAGAGATCATACAGTAAAAAGTCTCGCTGGCGTCGCTGGGATCAGGCAGTGGTGTCCGACACCCTCCAGTAAAGACGCTTCAGGCTCCTGAGAGAAAGGCACAACAAAATGAGTCAGAAGGCCAGAGAGGGAATCCTCTTTATGGCTAGAGAATAAAGAGAAAAAGACGGCTTGGAAGGCTACAGAAAGGCCATTCCTGTATCTCTCAGGGACATGCTCACTCCCATGTAAACAACTCACCGACTGCAGGCAGCCTGACTGTCAAGACGAAGCCTTTTAAGAGCTCAAAGGAAAAGCAAGTGAAATACCCCGTACGCTGCTCCTTCCTGTCAGCTCCCTAAACCCACAGGGAGGCTAAAACCAGTGTCTTTAGTGTAAACCCGTGTGTGCAGCTGTGGTCTGGGGCCGAGGACAGAGCCGGGGAGAAGACGCAGAAGCAGCAGCGGGGCCTGAGAGCAGAAGGGCTCTGATCCTGACGCGGGAATGCCGCTCATGCAGAGCAGGAATCGTTAGCGGCTCACTGTGAGGGACAGGGAGTGAAATGAAAAGAAGGCCAGAATTGTTTGGAGAGCATTTAAGGCCTTGACTGATGACATCATACACTCTCAGAGGGAAATGGAGAGTTCTAATCTCCCCTGTGTCTCAGCTGGTGAAGAATCCGCCTGCAGTGCGGGAAACCTGGGTTCGATCCCTGGGCTGGGAAGATCCCCTGGAGAAGGGAGAGGCTCCCCACTCCAGTATTCTGGCCTGGAGAATCCCACGGGCTGTGTAGTCCATGGGTCACAAAGAGTCGGACACGACGGAGCGACTTTCACTCACTGCAGTCTCCCCCTGCACCTGGGCGGGTGGGAGGGGGGAGCTTCGGCTTGAGGATTCTTTGCCCCGACTGGTGTTGAAGGCAGTCTGGTGACAGGTCTCAGGGAAAGAGCTCGCAAGCTTCCGTAACTTTTAAAAGGAACTGTCCGAGGCAGTGAGTGCGTCTGCACACCACGAGCTGTCTGTCCGCGGGGCCAGGAGGCCCCACCCTGGGCACAAGCAGAGGGCCGGGGCTGGGGGTCTGGGGTGGGGGGTAGAGAGCCGCGGCGGCCGAGCTGCTTTGGCTGTGCCGCCGGCCTCAGGGAGGGCGGCCCCAGCTGTGCGCTCAGCGCGGGCGCTCCGCCGTCTCCCCACCGACAGCCCCGCGGCCCCAGAGAACACGAGAGTCAGCAGCTTTGCGCAGCCTTTGTTCTGAGACTGAACCAGACGTCGCTGCTTCAGGGCCGGCGTGGGGGGCTGGGGGCTGGGGGCTGGGAGGGCAGACGCTCCAGCGCCCAAGCTGCGGCTGAGGGCAGTGCCTTCGGGTGGACCGTCCCGTGAAGCCCCAGGAAGTCCTTCGGAGCAGCACCGTCCAGGAGACCGGGGCGCCGCTCCACAGCCAAGGGAGCCCGGAGGCCGCTGTGCGCCAGCTTTCCACGAGGCCGTCTCCTTCACCTCTGGGGCAGGAACGGGGAAGCGGCCGGCGCTTGCGTTCCGGCGCCCACAGGGTTTTGTCCCACTTGTTGCACTGAGGTTATTTTCACCCTGGATGTTCATAACGGTGTCCCCGGACTTTCCTGTTTGCACGCTCCACCAACAAAACATTTGCATCCCAATGTGCATTTATTTATTTATTAATGAATTACAGACATAAGTGCCTCTATGGTAGGAATGCTTCCCAGATGGCGCAGTTGTCGAAAATCCACCCACCAATGCAGCAGACACAAGAGACGTGGGTTCAAGCCCTGGGTCGGGAAGATCCCCTGGACGAGGGCCTGGCAACCCACTCCAGTGCTCTTGCCTGGAGAATCCCATGGCCAGAGGAGCCTGGCGGGCTACAGCCCGTGGGGTCGAAACAGTTGGACGTGACTGAAGGACTAAGCATGGCACATGTGGAACGCATATTACAAAGCCTATACAAAAGGAGAAATGACGAAAGGATGAAACGTTTTAAATATATACGCTTTGTTCTTTTTTCCAGTGCCCCAGTGGGCTTCTGGTGCGTCTCTAGGGTACATGGGCCCACTTGGAAGGTCACAGGAGATGAAATAGGAAATATGCATAAAGCACTTCTGCTGTGTATCCCACCACCATGGTTATCTCAAGAGAAAAGCAACTGTACCATTGTTTGAGCAGTGCCCTGAACCCACGGCTTTCTTAAGGGAAGATTCTTTTTGCCTAAAAGAACAACTGGCAACTAGGGTTATCCATACTTGACTGCTTGGCAGGCAAGTTCTTGAAAATGAATCAATTGAGCTTGTCACACCAAGGAAAAGCAACCGATAACATTTGTTTCCTTGATGCTACATATTCAGGCGCTCAGTCGTGTCCAACTCTTTGTGACCCCGTAGACTGTAGCCCACCAGCCTCCTCTGTCCATGAATTATCCCAGCATGAATACTGGAGTGGGGTGCCATTTCCTCCTCCAGGGGATCTTCCCGACCCAGGGCTGAAACTCGAGTCTCTTGCCTCTCCCGCATTGGCAGGCAGATTCTTTACTATCTGAGCCACTGTGGAAGCCCCTTGTTTCTTTGAACTTTCTAGCAAACATTAGATTTTTAAAACTCTTGTATCAAGCATCATAAGCTTGATGGTATCACAATACTTAAAGACTTCTCAGATGATATTGGTGCTGATATTAATGAATGTGGTGTTGGATATTGTGTAATGAAATGGGTCAACATTTGGCAGAAGTCCACGACTTAGTGAACTAATATTTTCCGAATAGTCAATGTATGATGCTGTAAAATTATGCAAGGATATGGACAGAAGATCCATTCAAAGTGCATGTGGTCCCACCCACCCCGCAATTCATACATTGAAGCCTACTCACCAGTGGGATGGTACTTGGGTGGTGATTTGATACCTTGTCCTCATAAATGGGCTCAGAGCTCTGACAAACGAGACCCTAGAGAATTCCCTCACCTTCCCCCACCTGAAGATACAGTGAACCGTCAGTGTGTGAGCCGGGAAGTAGGCTCTCATCCAGCAGTGAGCCCGTCACTGCCTTGAACTTGGACGGAACACAGCTTCTGGAACCATGAGGAACACACTTCTGTTGTTGATAAGCCACCTCCTCTATGGTATTTCTGTGATAGCAGCTTAGTTACAAAGAAGTAATTACACCTCATTTAACAACTTGTTATGATTCATCATAAAGTTACAATAACCCCTTTGTTTCAGTTTAATGCCACAAAGATATATTCACTTCAACTGTGTTTTTCCTCCATTTTTAGTTTTTCTCTGAAATTGCTTTCTACAATGTGACCTACAGTAACATCTATGTCATTAAGAAAAGCCATGGGACAGATAACATTGAGATGAAGAATTAAGATAAATACTCAGCTAATTTAAAGGAGAACACTTTGCATGAATGTTTTATGAAGGTTTCTGAGGAAGGTAATGGGGTGGGGGGGCTCTTCTGATTGGTTGCCCGAGTTCCACATTCACTTAATTCCTCCATGCTGTTATCTCCTTCGGAGATAACGTGGGGATTTTTAAGTGAAAACAAACACAAACCTTTATTTATAACTAACATCACTAAAGCAGTATGTACAATCATCAGCTAAAAAAAGGAGGCACTGTGAAGTAAAAGTATGACTTTTCATGCAAATTGCACTTTTCATTTTCATGCTGGCAACATACACTGCACAGATCTTTGCTTTGGGTTTTATAAATCTTATACATCTCATTTTGGAAACAAATAAATCTGTGGCGTGTCCAGGAGGCAGCAGGACTACAGAGATTAGGAAGGCTGTGTGGTAAAGAAATTTTTTTGGTTTGTTTCTTTAAAATTTTTTTTTTCCTTTGATCACACCTCACAGCATGCAGAACTTCCTGACCCGGAATCTAACCCACGTTCCCCCGCAGAGGAAGTACTGAGTCTTAACCACTGGGCCACCAGGGAGGCCCCAAGAAATTTTTTAAATTCATTAAAGATACTTGGGTGGCACAGTTGTAAAGAACCTGCCTGCCAGTGCAAGAGAGTGGGGCTGGATCCCTGGGTGGGGAAGATCCCCTGGAGAAGGAAATGGCAACCCATTCTAGTATTCCTGGCTGGAAAATCCCACGGACAGAGGAGCCTGGCGGGCTGCAGTCCATGGGGTCACAAAGAGCAGGACATGACTGAGTGACTGAACACATGAGAGACGCTTTGGTCAAGTGCACTGGTTTCCTGGGGTTATTTCCACCCTCTTCTCACAGGGCGAGATTCAATCATGTTTACACACAGCGTCGTGGCAAACACATGGTGTTTACCTTGTCACGGTGCACTAGGATGAGCGGTTCAGTCTTGAGCTGGACTGCCTGAGATAGTAGCCACTGATCATACGTGGCTATTCAAATTTAAATGTAAGTTAATTAGAATTAAATAACATGTAAAATTCACCTCCTCTTTCTCAGCCAGCCACATTTCCAGTGCCTGATGCCTCCCTCCTGTGGTTAGCAGCCCCCACATTGGAGATGCAGGTGTAGAAAGTCTCTCTCGTCAGGGCAAGTTCTGCTGAGCTGTGTTTACCCAGAACACAATCTCTAGTTCTCATCTTTTGTTATACGGCTGTATGAAGATCATAGCTGATTTTTTTAAAAATGTTAGTAATCTGAAAAATTAATTACATAAAATAAGAATGAGTTTTTATTTTGGAATTCCCTTTAGAAACTCATGTTTCTAAAGTAAGTATAGCAAAAGCAAGTGTTTGCAAAGCAGCTTCTTCCAAGTTGCTTGTTTTACTCTGCCAACATTCGCTTGTTCATTTGAAACTCATTTACCAAGTGCCTTCTGGATACCAGGTATTCTTCTGGGCTCTGGAACAAAACAAATAAAACCGTTGGCCTCATGGAGCTTCCAGTGTACCCTGTGGGATGAGAGGCAAGTATTATTTCTGTTTCCAGGTTCAGATACAAATATCTGTCTGTATGGGGTATTTTGTGCCGAAGCAGGGGATAGAATGAGAAGATTCCAATTCTCACACTGTTGCTCATGAAGAAGCCACAGAAAGAGGGAAATGCTGAGAATGTAATTTCTGATCTGCAAAGACATTCTCATCATGAAAACCAAAAAAGCCTCGCAAACAATTTAAAATATTAGTTCTGAAAAACCACTTTTGCCTGACAAAGCGTGTAAGGGACTGATGCGTGATTTCACAGGTCACTGTCTTCCTTCGTGGAATCCGAGTATTGGCCACTGGAAGTGGCTGTAGCCTCTTCAGCTTTCCTCCCACAATATCCAGCCAGCTCACCACTGCAGCCCCGGCTGGGCACTTGGGGTAGCAGAAAGTTCACGAATTTAATCAACAGCAGAGGCACAACTTCACTTGTCCTAACTTTTATTAGTATGTGTATAATAATTTTATTATTATGTGTATAATAACCTTTATTATTATGTGTGTTATTATTACTATTTTTACAATATCACATATCCACAGTTAGAAGTTTAGAAACAACAGATAAGAGTAAAAATGTTAAATTAGTTGTATTCCTAATACCCAGAAGATAATCACCATTAGCATTTAAAAATTTTTTCTGACATGTACACATTGCTGTATTTATTTGTTTTTCTAAGTTGTTTTTGGCTGTGCTGGGTCTTCTTGCTACGCGCGGGCTTTCTCTGGTTGTGGCGAGTGGGGCTGCTCTCCTGTTGGGGAGCGCGGCCTTGTTGTGGGGGCGTCTACCATTGCGGAGCCGCGGGCTCCCGGGCACCTGGGCTTCGGTAGCTGTGACTTTGGGGCTCAGAGCTCGGACTCGGCAGTTGGGGTGCACAGGCTCAGTTGCGTTGCAGCATGTGGGAATCTTCCCCGACGAGGGATCGAACCTGTGTCCCCTTCACTGACAGGCGGATTCCTATCCACTAGGGAAGTCCTCACCGTTAGCATTTTGATATGTATTCTTTAAGAATTTCTCTCTCTCTCTCCCTTCATGTATAAATGTTTCTAGCAAACTAAAATAGTACTATTGGTATCTCACTCTTTTTACTTAACCATATAATACAAATACATTTTTGTTCAAATAAGTCTAACTCTCCATCACCATTTTAACAGCTGGGTAATATTACGTTCAGTGACTATGTTCAATGATTTATTTAAACACTTGTTGAAAGCTAACATTATTCTGAATGTTTCACCATTATAACCAATACTGTGGTATACATCCTTGTACGCATACTAATATCTTTGTGGAGCTGATTAAATTTTAGCGATCGAAATATACAAGTGAAATTCTTGGGTCAGAGGTTTGGCCCATATTTAAGACTTCTCGTGAAAGTCACCCAATTCTGTCCCAGAAAAACCGAACCTCTACCCCTGTCCCAGCAGTTACGAGAACGCCCCTTTCCCCGAGACTGACTCACAGCCTCTTCTTGGGAGATCCTGACTTTTCCTCTGCTTTCACTCACTAGTGTCCGGTTTGCCCCTGGGACACCCGTTCTACTGTTTGAACTAAAACCATCACGTCTCAACAGAAAGTCTCCTTCTTCCTAGACCTCGCCTCCCTCCAGTGTGGATTAATACCTGATTGTCAACCCGGCACCTGGAGGATCAATAGTTCTGTCCTTGATCTTTTTA